TGCACCGAGCTGTGACCTCATCGAATATTCTCCTAGCGGCTGACATGACTGCTAAGGTGAGCTGCTGCTCCAGGTGCCTCAACACTCAGGAGGACAGGACCTCACCCCCCCGCTGGTGCACAAAGCAGTTACCTCCTCCAACGTCCTGCTGGCGGCTGATATGACTACCAAGGTGAGTTGCATGCTGCATGGCACACATCTTACTTACCACAGCCAAGTGAGGTATCAGCCTCTTGCTACAAGGAGTGCACTGGAGCATCTGCATCACGGCCTCACCCCCCCGCTGGTGCACCGAGCTGTGACCTCATCGAATATTCTCCTAGCGGCTGACATGACTGCTAAGGTGAGCCGCTGCTCCCAGGTGCCTCAACACTCAGGAGGACACGGCCTCACCCCCCCGCTGGTGCACCGAGCTGTGACCTCATCGAATATTCTCCTAGCGGCTGACATGACTGCTAAGGTGAGCCGCTGCTCCCAGGTGCCTCAACACTCAGGAGGACACGACCTCACCCCCCCGCTGGTGCACCGAGCTGTGACCTCATCGAATATTCTCCTAGCGGCTGACATGACTGCTAAGGTGAGCTGCTGCTCCAGGTGCCTCAACACTCAGGAGGACAGGACCTCACCCCCCCGCTGGTGCACAAAGCAGTTACCTCCTCCAACGTCCTGCTGGCGGCTGATATGACTGCCAAGGTGAGCATTGGTGAACGAGGTGAGTGCGTCAGGTTTGAGGGTGTGCACTGGAGCATCTGCATCACGACCTCACCCCCCCGCTGGTGCACAAAGCAGTGACCTCGTCCAACATCCTGCTAGCGGCTGATATGACTGCCAAGGTGAGACGCTGCCCCTGGTGCCTCATCCCACAAGGCGGTTCCATGTCTCAGCACTCAAGGTAGTGTCGTCAAGAGTACCTGCTACGACCAGGATCTCACCCCCCCGCTGGCACGCAGAGAAGTGACCTCCTCCAACGTCCTTCTGGCAGCTGATATGACTGCCTAGGTGAGCCTCATGCTGCATGCCACATGCAAGGGCCGCAGCGGGGGCAAGAGTGCATTTGATGACGTGCCGCGGAGCAAGAAGAGCCGCAAGCACAAGCAGATGGCTGACGTGCAGTCGCCCTCGAGTGTTTTTTGAGAATTCTCAAAAAACACTCGCTGCAGTCGCCCTCGCCCCACCCCAGATGTGGATTGCGAGCGGTGGAGAGCGGTGGAGTCATGCCCTCGGCCCGTATCTCACTCACCCGCCACCCCTGTCCTTCTCTCCTGCTGTTCTGTGTGCCGTCCTCCTCCCTCCCTGTCCTCAGCTGAGCGATTTTGGCATAGCCAAGGGCAGCAGTGGCGGAAAGACCGCGTTTGACGACACGCCGCGGCGCAAGAAGAGCCGCAAGCACAAGCAGGTGGCTGACGTGCAGTCGCCCTCGCCACATCACTCCGGATAGAGAGAGGTGGAGCTCGGTGGAGAGCGGTAGAGTGTGGCTGGTCACTCGCTCAACCCCCACCCCTTTCCCTCCATCCTCCTGTGTCCCTGTGCCCCCATTCAGTTAAGTGACTTTGGCATTGCCAAGGGCAGCAGCGGCGGGAAGTCCGCGTTTGACGACACGCCGCGGCGCAAGAAGAGCCGCAAGCACAAGCAGGTGGCTGACGTGCAGTCGCCCTCGCCACAGATGGAGAAGGCGGATGTGTATGGGTTCGGAGTGGTGCTGCTGGAGTTAATTACAGGGCAGAAGGCCATGAAGGAGGTTCACATTACTACCATGGTGAGAGAGTGTGCAGTGCGGTTGACTTGGGTGAAATCCTGGTGCAGAATGGTGGGGTATGGTGGAATGCGGTAGAGTGTGCAGTCGCCCTCGCCACAGATGGAGAAGGCGGATGTGTATGGGTTCGGAGTGGTGCTGCTGGAGTTAATTACAGGGCAGAAGGCCATGAAGGAGGTTCACATTACTACCATGGTGAGAGAGTGTGCAGTGCGGTTGACTTGGGTGAAATCCTGGTGCAGAATGGTGGGGTATGGTGGAATGCGGTAGAGTGTGCAGTCGCCCTCGCCACAGATGGAGAAGGCGGATGTGTATGGGTTCGGAGTGGTGCTGCTGGAACTGATTACGGGCCAGAAGGCGATGAAGGAGGTTTATATCACTACCATGGTGAGAGTCACAGTGCAGTGCGGTTGAATGTGGTATAATCCTGGTAGAAAATGGGCCCCGTTTTGGAAGACCCGCGGATGATGCCTCTCATGGTGGGACCCTATCTGGGGTGTCTGAGCCGCCCTCTCTTCTTTGCAGTGCCTGATCTCCCTCCCTTTCCCCACCACATTTCCCTCTTCTCCCATCAGGCTGCCCCTTTCCTGGAGGGTCCTCAGATGATGCCTCTCATGGTCGACCCCTACCTGGGCGCTCAGTGTTAGTGCTCGGATCAAGGCGCTCACCCCTCCCTCCCTCGATTCCCCGCCTCTCTCCCTTTCCTCCCATCAGGCTGCCCCTTTCCTAGAAGACCCGCAGATGATGCCTCTCATGGTGGACCCCTACCTGGGCGCTCAGTGTCTAGTACTCACTCCTCGCTCCCTCCATTGACACCCCTTCTTCTCCACCCCCCCATCAGGCTGCTCCCTTCCTAGAAGACCCGCAGATGATGCCTCTCATGGTGGACCCCTACCTGGGCGTTCAGTGTGCCTAGTGTGCTCATTGTGTCCCCATCACAATCCCTGCTTCCCCACCACCCACCCAATCAGGCCGCCCCCTTCCTGGAGGATCCTCAGATGATGCCTCTCATGGTCGACCCCTACCTGGGCGCTGAGGGTGTGGAATTCGAGGTCTAATATCATAACGGATTCCCCACCTCATATCCCACTCTTCCCACTCCCCTTTTCCAGGCTGCTCCCTTCTTGGAGGACCTGCAGATGATGCCTCTCATGGTGGATCCCTACCTGGGTGATCAGAGTCTAGTGCTCGGATCAAGGCACTCACCCCTCCCTCTCTCCCTCCCACACCACTCTCCTCCCTCTCCTCTATTCTCCAGGCTGCCCCCTTCTTGGAGGACCCTCAAATGATGCCTCTCATGGTCGATCCCTACCTGGGCGCTCAGTGTCTAGTGCTCGGATAATGGCGCTCATCCCTCCCTCCCTCCCATCACACCTCCTCTTCTCCCTTCCCATCAGGCTGCCCCATTCTTGGAGGACCCGCAGATGATGCCTCTCATGGTCGATCCCTACCTGGGCGGCAACTATCGGCAGGAGGAGCTCATAGAGCTGGGCGGCTTGGCCCGCGACTGCATCCAAGAAAACGCCGCTTGCCGCCCGTCCATGCGCGAGGTTCTCGAGAGAATGGAGGAGAATCTGCCGTCCGTCGGTGTGTGTATCGAAGGGGACGGGATTGGAGGGAAGGCAGGAGGAGACGACGAGGAATCCGGGTTACTTGTGGAGGGGTATTCCGCCGCTGCGCCCACGTTCGGGCAGGGTGTTACGCACCTGCACCCTCCGAATGTGAGGGTGGACGGCGGGGGGCACGAGCATGGATCTGCTGTGATGCGCGAGGAGAGGCAGGTGACGGGGATTTCGGGAATTTCAGCACCGGCATCAGCTTGGGCGTCGATTGAAGGGTTTGCCAAGTCGATCAAGAGCGCGATTGTGAACCCGAGGGGGCACCGGGGGGAGTCGGATCATGAGATGTCGTCGCTGCTGGTGCTGGGTACGAAGACGGGGAGCAGCAGCAGCAGTGGGAGGTGATAGGCTAGCAGCAGCAGCAGTGGGGGTGGTGGGGGCACGAGCATGGATCTGCTGTGATGCGAGAGGAGAGGCAGGTGACGGGGATTTCGGGAATTTCAGCACCGGCATCAGCTTGGGCGTCGATTGAAGGGTTTGCCAAGTCGATCAAGAGCGCGATTGTGAACCCGAGGGGGCACCGGGGGGAGTCGGATCATGAGATGTCGTCGCTGCTGGTGCTGGGTACGAAGACAGGGAGCAGCAGCAGCAGTGGGAGGTGAGCGGCTACCAGCAGCAGCAGTGGGGGTGGTGGGGGCACGAGCATGGATCTGCTGTGATGCGGGAGGAGAGGCAGGCGACGGGGATTTCGGGGATTTCAGCACCGGCGTCGGCTTGGGCGTCAATTGAAGGGTTTGCCAAGTCGATCAAGAGCGCGATTGTGAACCCGAGGGGGCACCGGGGGGAGTCGGACCATGAGATGTCGTCGCTGCTGGTGCTGGGTACGAAGACAGGGAGCAGCAGCAGCAGTGGGCGGTGAGAGGTAGCAGCAGCCGCATTGGGAGTGTTGGAGGAGGTGATAAGTTATCAGGCAGGCAGTCGTGGCGGCCTTCCAAGGCAGCAGCCGAGTGTACATGTCTCCAAGATATAACCGGCTATAATATCTCCTAACAAGATTGTCTAATTTATATACAAGCATAGTAGTGACAATTCTGTTGTCCCTTAATTTGTTTGTTTGTCTTTGTTTATTAGAATGAGCGTGAAGACAAGCTTGCAGTCCTCAATTTTAATGTGTGTTTGTCATAAAATAATTTCAGTTATTATGCTCTAACGGAGTTGGTGGAAGGACAACCAGAGAGCAGATCGAAGACAAAAAATATTCCAGCTGGGATATGAAAATTGCATAAGTATCCCGCCAACCGGATTCGAACCAGTGACCTAAGGATTGCTCAACTACAGTCCTCCGCTCTACCAACTGAGCTATAGCAGGTTGAATGCTAGAGACACGTGAAGTATTTACTAAAATTAAAGTATAAATGCTACTAACCCTCACGATTACCTCTCGTCTGTAATCATGCGAATTCGGGCAATTCCGCGGGCGCTCTTCCGTTGACGCGCATTCTTCCGCGCAGGCCAACCCCGCGGAGATGGTGGCGGAGGCGGAAGCCCTGGACGGGTCTGGTACCGCCACTTCTCCTATTACCACGAACGGCGCTGGTACTAGCGCCACAAGCACTGCTGCTAGGTCATTATTACTAGATAGTATTGAAAGCACCGTTCCTTTCACACTCCGCGGTGTCGTTTTCGATATGGACGGGACTCTGACCGTGCCGTGCATAGATTTCGCCGAGATGCGCCGGCGCGTGGGCGCCACGAGCCCGGATATTCTGCACGAGATCGACGGTTGGGATGAGCCGAGACGAGTCGAGGCGTATCGTGTGATTGGGGAGATGGAGGCGGAGGCGAAGCGACGGCTGCAGATCATGCCAGGTGGGTGAATGGCGAATCTACGGTTGCAGTTCATGGGTGAATGGCGATTCAACAGCTGCAGATCATGCCAGGTGGCTGAATGGTAAATCTACGGTTGCAGATTATGCCAGGTGGGTGAATGTCGAATCTACGGTTGCATGCCAGGTGTGAATGGCTTATGTACGGTTGCAGATCATGCCAGGTGGGTGGATTTTGAATCGACGGCTGCAGATCATGACAGGTAGGTGGATTGGGCAATATGGGGTAAGAACCCCTGCATTGACCTGTGCCGTGACCCATGAAGTGACCCCTTCATTGACCTGTGCCATGACCCATGAAGTGACCCATGAATTGACTCATGCACTGGCTCATAAGCTGACCATGAATTGACCGACCATGAGTTGATCCACCCATGCGTTGACCATGAGTTGACCCACCCATGCGTTGACCATGAGTTGACCCATGCGTTGACCCATGAGTTGACACATGCGTTGACCATGAATTGACCCAAGTGTTGACCATGAGTTGACCATGAGTTGACCCATGTGTTGACCCATATGATGACCCAGTTGCACTCTCGTTCGCTGACCCGTGCTTTGACTCATCTCAAATGGCTTGAGAGTCAACTCAAAAGCCACCATCCTCCTTGCCTGGTCCTCTCTCCCACTCAGTGCACATCTTTTCTGGACCTCTTTTTGCAACTTCTGGAACCACATATGGAGCAGCATATGTTCAGCAGCACTATTTGAAAAAAATCCAAAACCGCTAACAGTAGTAACCCTCCTACCCTGTGCGTTTCACAGTAACCCTCCTACCCTGTGCGTTTCGCAGTAACCCTCCTACCCTGTGCGTTTCGCAGTAAGCCTCCTACCCTGTGCGTTTCACAGTAACCCTCCTACCCTGTGCGTTTCACAGTAACCCTCCTACCCTGTGCGTTTCGCAGTAACCCTCCTACCCTGTGCGTTTCGCAGTAACCCTCCTACCCTGTGCGTTTCACAGTAGCCCTCCTACCTTGTGCGTTTTGCAGTAACCCTCCTACCCTGTGCGTTTTGCAGTAACCCTCCTACCCTGTGCGTTTCACAGTAACCCTCCTACCCTGTGCGTTTCACAGTAACCCTCCTACCCTGTGCGTTTCACAGTAACCCTCCTACCCTGTGCGTTTCACAGTAACCCTCCTACCCTGTGCGTTTCGCATGTATTTTCAGGGGCCCGCGAGCTCATCGCCTTTCTTGACGCCCGGAACATCAGGCGAGGGCTTATAACGAGGAATGTGAAGGATTCAGTGGACCATTTCCATAGCAGTTTCGAGGTGATTCTCATACACGTTAAGGAATTTCTTGTTACCAGCACTGGGCTTATAACGAAGAATGTGAAGGATTAAGTGGATCATTTCCATAGCAGCTTCGAGGTGAGTTTCGTACCCATTAAGAAAATCTTCGTTACCAGCATTAGGCTTTTAACGAGGAATGTGAAGGATTCAGTGGATCATTGCCATACCAGCTTCGAGGTGAGCCTTGGTTTATGAAGTACGGGTGTGTAACAAGTTTGCCTTGTTGTATGGTGGGGTTTTCTTGTCTGGTATACGTAAACTCTTGTTCCTTTTTTTTTTAGCTCATGCATCCATCTCCCTCCTCTTATTTGCTTCTTCAGCAGAAGCCATTTGTTGTGAGGTTTCACCAGAGCACCACATGCTGCATACTGCCTCTTTACTTGGCAAGGTCATATTTGCAGCATGTGTTTGTTTCCTTTCCTTCTGGCCCGGTCACCAGGTTCCCCCTTTTTCGCCTGCTCTCAGTCGTGAATTCCAACCCTATAAGCCACATGCCGCCCCATTATTGCATATTTGTGAACAATGGGGTGTACATCCTTCGGAGGTGATTATGGTGGGAGACTCTGCAAAAGACGATGTAAGATGTCAAACTCTACGTAATGTAGCATTCGTGCGATTCTTATCATGTGTGTCCTCGTTATGCTCCTTATCATTGCTCCCTGCTCACCAATTATATCGTTGGGCTTTTGCAGGTGGTATGTGGAAAGAGAGCAGGTGCTGTCACATTTTTTCTTGACGAGGATGGCAAGTTCCCCAGCGTTGACGAGATTCCGGAAGAAATCAGACCCCATTTTCGTATCAGAACTTTGAATGAGATGCTGAATCTCCTCATGTCACCAATGTTTGTGCTACACTCTGACTAGTTTTCTAAGCTACTTTATGTATTGCTACAAAACATGTCAACTGTTAGGCCCGACGGCCTAAGTCCGCTAAAGAATTAGCGGGGTCGACTAAGTCGAGGATGAAACGCGGCGGAAGACTTTGGCGAAAGAACTATTGGCGAAATAGGCGAAGAAGTTACTGAGTAATTGAAGAAGAGTTGAATGAGAATTGATTGATAATGGCAAGTACAAGCAAGGTTGATATAGCATGCAAGATCGAATGTCGGAAAGTACTTCGTGGGACTAGGAATTGAAGGCAAGAAAAGTAGAGTGTCACGTGGCACTAGGAAATCAAGGAAGATAAGGATAAGGGTGATTTGGAAAGTACTGTTCGGAATGAGCAGTAAATCCCCCCTTAACACTACCCCCCTCCCAAGGAGGCGACGTCCGCGGCGCCTGCAGACTGGAGGTACGCTTGGAGGCAAGCGTTGTCGGGAGACAGCGAGGACGAAGGAACCCAGCTGTCGTCTGCTGCGTCATAACCACGCCAACGAACCAAGAAGTCGATGAAAGGGACACCTCCCTGGAGACGGCGACGGTGCCTGAGGATGCGCTGGAACTGGTAGTCGGGCTCGTCGGTGTCAACAGCTACCGGCAGTGGAGTGCGGTCACGGCCCGAGAAGGTGGCGTTGGGATCGGTGTAAGGACGAAGAAGCGACACGTGGAATGACGGGTGCATGCGGAAATGAGCGGGAAGCGGAGGCGGTATGCGACTGGACCAAGTGCGCGCTCAATGACGAATGGACCAATGAAACGTGGACGAAGCTTGCTGTCCTGTGGCAGTCGGAGGTTGCGGCTATCCAAGAGAACACGGTCGCCGACTGCGAACGACACCTCATGACGACTGCGGTTGGTGGTGCGTGCCATGCGTGCATTTGCGAGCTCAAGGTGCTTCCTCACGTGATCATGAATGAAGGTGAGATGCTGATGGAAGTTGTCCGCACGAGGGACAGTGGGTGTGAGATCGACACGAGTGGGGACATTGGGGTGCTGACTGTACAGTGCGAAGAACGGTGACATGCCTGTGGACGAGTGGTGCGTGTTGTTGTATGCGAACTCGGCCATGCTCAGCTTCTTGTCCCATGCAGCTGCGTCGTGCATCGTGATGCTGCGAAGGATCTGCTCCAAGGTCTGGTTCACACGCTCAGTCTGTCCGTCTGTCTCTGGATGGTATGCTGACGACATGGCTAAGCGAGTCCCAAACAGTGCGAAAAGCTACTTCCATAACTTCGAGGTGAATCTAGGGTCGCGGTCGGAAATGATGGAATCTGGAACCCCGTGCAGTCGGACTACGTTATCTACGAACAGCGTCGCGGCTTCCTCTGCTGTGACCTTGCCGTGCGTGGGGATGAAATGCGCTGCTCGAGAAAACTTATCCACTACCACGAAGATGGCGTCGTGACCCCTAACTGTGCGCGGTAAAGCCATGATGAAGTCCATGGTAACTACCTGCCAAGGGCGGTCGGGCGGTGGAATCGGCTGCAAGAGTCCTGCCTTGCGTTGGCGAGAGGACTTCGTACGCTGACACGTGTCGCACGAGCGAATGTAATCCTCTACGTCTGCTGCAAGCCCGGGCCAGTAGTACGTGCGACTAAGCGTCTTAGCCGTCTTATCTGCTCCAAAGTGACATGCGCTAACTACATCGTGCGCCTCGGAAAGAAGAAGCTGTCGAAGAGGGCGGTAGGATGGAACCCAAATCCGTGTGGTACCCTTCCGTATGTAGACACTACCCTGCACCTCTGCTCCTGTGGGCGGCTGCGGTGTGAAGTCGGGATCGACTGTGTAACCGTGCTCGAAGAGTGCTGTGAGAAGTTGTCAAACATTATACATGTTCATATTGTGTAGGCTATAGTGGGTTTAGCCTTAGGGGGTACAACATTGCTAGGGTTTCCTACTTGTATCACCCTGCTGCCTAGTTTCACACATTCTCGTTCAGTTCTACATTCTAACATGGTATCACGAGCCTAGGTTGCTACCTAGGACCGCTTTCTCCTACGGGCCCACTATTCCGCTAGACGCGCCCTCGTGCGTCCTACCTTACGTGCGCCCTCGTGCGCCTTTCTATACTCGTGCGCCCTCGTGCGCCCTCGTGCGCCCTCGTGCGCCCTACCTTACGTGCGCCCTCGTGCGCCCCGTGCGACCCGCCCTTCGGTCTGCCCGCGTGCCGTCCTGCAGCCCTCGCGCTGCCTCTTGCAAGCTAGTACGGCCCTCGAGCCGCCCCTGCAGGTCCGTCAGGCCCCCGAGCCGCCTCTGCAGACCCGTCAGGCCCCCCCCGAGCCGCCTCTGCAGGCCCGTCAGGCCCGAGAGCCGCCCCTGCAGCCAGCGCGCTGCCCTGCCGAGCCGCGTGTCGCCCGTGGGCGCTGCCTCTGCCCCGTCGCGCTGCCCTGGGGAGCCGCGCGCGACCCCCGCTGTCCCGTCGCGTCGCCCTGGGGAGCCGCGCTCGGCCCCCGCTGCCCTGTCGCGACGCCCTGGGGAGCCGCGCTCGGCCCCCGCTGCCCTGTCGCGACGTCCTGGGGAGCCGCGCTCGGCCCCCGCTGACCCGTCGCGACGCCCTAGGGAGCCACGCGCGACCCCCCCGCTGCCCCGTCGCGACGCCCTGGGGAGCCGCGCGCGCCCCCCCCCCCCCCGCTGCCCCGTCGCGGCGCCCTGGGGAGCCGCGCGCCGCCCCCCCCCCCCTCGCTGCTGCCCGAGCCACCCTGCAGCCCGCGAGCCGCCTCTGCAGCGCCGAGTGCGCTCTGCCAAACCCTAAAATAAATAATTAATTATTAAAAAAAAAAAAAAAAAAAAAAAGAGGGAGCAGCTGCCCCTGGCCCCTGGAGCAGCCGCCCCTGGAGCAGCCGCCCCTGCAGCAGCCGCCCCTGCAGCAGCTGCCCCTGCAGCAGCCGCCCCTGGACCTCTGCAGCCGCCCCTGGCCCCTGGAGCAGCCGCCCCTGCAGCTGCCGCGGAGCCCTCGCCCTGCAGTGGTAGCGGCCTCGCCGTTACCACCGTCGTACGCCTGCCCTTCTCGCCACTGGTGAGCACTGCCCTGCCCGTATTGCTGTTACTGCTGCTCCTGCTGCTACTGCTCTTTCTACTTCTACTGCTGCTCCTGGCGTGGCCAGATGCAGCTCCAGCGCCGTCCGCGTGAGTCCCTCACGCCCCAACAGCTTCGTGAGTGGATGCTGGTTGGGGTTGTAGGGGTGGCCGCGCTGCTGCTACTACTACTGCTGCTACTACTGCTACTGCTGCTCCTGGCGGTGGCCAGATGCAGCTCCCGCGACGTCCGAGTGAGTCCCTCACGCCCCAGCAGCTTCGTGAGTGGTACGCTCAGCGTGGAGGGTCACGGGGTACTGCTCGCTGCCCGTACGTCATTCGCACTGGTGCTCGGACTGGTCAGCCTTGCGGGACGTTTGGTCACACAGAGTCCCGCTGCTTCGCCCGACTGAGCGACGCCTGGCGTACAGAGTTTGGCGACGCGGCTGAGCTCCCCGACTGGGTGGAGCTGCTTAGGCAGAGGGTAGATATCTATGCTCTTGACTATGATGCTATCCTCACTGCCATGTATGCATTTCCTACTAGTGCTGAGAGTGCCTGTCACCTGTGTGTGCCGCCTGACCCCGGTATCCAGTCTGCTGCTCTAGGTACTGGTGAGGCTGCTGCACTAGGTGCTCGTGTGTCTGTTGCCCCAGGTGCTGGTGAGGCTGCTGCTCTAGGTACTCGTGAGTCTGCGCCCTCTGGTACTGCGTCTACTGAGGCACTGCACACCTTCACACTGGACTCAGGCGCTTCCCGCTGTTTCTTTCGTGACCGCACTGCCCTTGAGCAGCTTGCTCGGCCGGTTGCAGTCTCCCTCGCTGACCCCTCTGGGGGTCCGGTCATTGCGACCTCCTCTACTGTTCTCCCTTGTCCTGCGGTCCCGTCGGGCACTCTGTCAGGTCTCTACCTCCCCTCGTTCTCTACGAACTTGGTGGCGGGTAGTGCGCTCCAGGACGGGGGTGTCCACCAGTTTACCCCTGCCTACGAGCGTGTGACACACTGCACGTGCGCTCGGACGGGCCGCCACCTGGCTACCTTCACTCGGCAGCCGGGGTCGGACCTGTACACACTGACCACTGAGTCCCCACAGGTAGCTGCGTCTGCGTCTGCGTCAGGTCAGCTGTCTGCCCCCTGCTCGTGTCGCTCTCTGGCACA